TTCCGACACTTCTGACTGTTCCGGCCAACCTCTGGTCTGCATAAGCAACCCCCTCGAATTAAAATACCCCTTCACTTTTAAATACAAAGTAGGGTTGTTCAGATTTGAAAACCTAAAAATTTTGATATTTCTTTCCAAAAATTAGTCGGTTTTATGAAATGCCGTATTTTTCCTAATACGGCCGGTTTATTTTTCAACCATTCTCTATAAAAAAAATTTTTTCCTTCGGCGCTGAAAAAGGAAAAACCTCATTTAGAAAACTATCGATGGAAAGGGTCGGTTTAATAGAGACAGTCGGTCTAATAAAGATAGTCACACTATTAGGAAAAATACGTTTTAAAAACCAAAAATTTTTGAAATGTGTTTCCCTAGAAATTCCTTCAAAATCAACTCGCTATTTAACTAAAACACAAAGCAGAAAACAGGTGTTTTAAAATTTGAATTAACCGAAAATAGTAGTTGTCATTTAATAACCGGTAGTGAACAACCCTGATACGAACCACAAAAAATAACAGCTTCAATTATTTACTTTCGCCCTTTTATCCATTTCTTAAATGCCCCTTTCTTTTTTGAATGATTAAAACTTGGTTAAGATGGCTGTTCATAAGTCGACCCCTGATGTGACCAAGTCTGGAATCCGCCAGTGTTTGAGTGATTAAAACGTGGATTAGATGGTTGTTCATAAGTCAAAGGTGTCCAAGTCTGGAATCCACCAGTGTTTGAGTGATTGAAGTGTGGATTAGATGGTTGTTCATAAGTCAAAGGTGTCCAACTTTGGAATCCTCCGGCGTTTGAGTGATTAAAACTTGAACTGGATTGTTCTTCATATTGTGGAGCCGGTTCGTTCAAATTCAAATTCATAGCTATTCGTTCCTTCTTGTTTTTTTCAGTCTTTTGATAATTACCACCTTCTAAACGACCATCATTTGAATGATACCTTACATTTCCTTCTGTAAAGTTTAAAATTATAAAAAAAAATTTTTTAATTAATTAAATTTTAAAAATTAATTGTTGAGTTATAATTAAAAAATGAGAGTGGCAACTTCTTCTCATTTTTAATATTTAACCTTAAAAGTTTTTCTGTCTTCAACCTACTCCGAATTTTTTTGCAAACAAAATAAACAAATTTAATCAAATATTCGGCTTACTTTTAATTTCGGAAAAGAATTAAAAATTAAATATTTCAGAGATTATGGCAGAAAAAGTGGATTTTTAATGAATATATTTCAAAAATTATTCAAAAATAAATGAAACAAAAAGTTTTAAAGTCTAAAATTTAATATTTAAATTTAATATTTATGTACATACGATGATAGTTTATATTCTGATCCAGTATATCTTTAAAGTAAAATTTTTTAATTTAAAAATTAGTAAAAAAAATCTTGGCAGTTTTTACCCATAAACCCCCAACTAGAGTTGGTCACGGTACCGTATTACTGCGGTATTTTTCGGTATCGGTATTTTACCGAAAATACCGATACTGCAAAATCGCGTTTGCCCAACACTACCCCCAACAGACATTTACAGATTATGTTGATTATTATTTATTACCAAAATAGACTCTATAAATCAGTTAAAGATAGCGAACAAAGCCAGTGGCCGTTTAATACTACAAACGGCGAGGGAAACCAAAATTTTAATTAAATTATTACACTAACATTGTCCTTGTTGTTTTCCTTGCTCATAATATTGTCTCATTATTTCATTAATATTTTCTTGATTCCATTCACCTCCAGAAGAATAAACAAAATAAAATGAAATAAAGAACAAAAAAATTGAGAAATAATTCATTTTTATGGGAAGGATTTTTAAAAAATATTTTTTTGTTTAAAATCTAAACTTAATTAATTCTCACTAATTATTCCAAAAAAGAGATTACTAATTAAAAATAAAGGGATAAATCAAGGCCGCCGGTCCTTCCGTCACCCATTTTTATTTTAAATTTTTTAAAGAATATGGTCCTTTCATTCACAAGTTTTGAAATATTAAATAATATTCAAATATAGGAAAAAGAATAAGCGGCGGCCGTCGTTCCGCTCGACATGCCCGGCTTTCTCCGCAGCGGCAAAAACTTTTTTCTGCGAAAACCTTATGTGAGGGGTTAAAACAAACAGTCATAACTTTGTCAAGCAAGCTAGATTTCGTTGATTTTGGTGCCATTCGACTCAGCTCGACGAGCTCTTACGAATGAGCTATTACTTGCTTTTTCGAATTATTGACCCAAAATGGCCCCTATGATTTTTGACCATTTCGAGCCCGATGAATTTTTTATCTTCAAAAAATGTTATGGTTCCATTTTTATCCTTTTATAATGTTTTTGTGTCATTTCGCATTCTTTTAAACAAGAAAAAATGTATTTGGATGTGTTGCTGAGCTGAGTTATTCGGCGGCTGGGTGCGAACCAACATCTTCAGTTGACCGGACTACCTAATGTGTTATCCATTAACTACTGCACAGCCTTAGGAATTAAATAAGCTTTACAATATATCCATCCCTTTATTGTTTTCTTTTAGTGATACGTTAAAAAGTATCGCTTGGGTAATAGTAGTATCGCGCTAGCAAAGTTTAAGCAGTTTTAAAATTAAGTTTGTGAAGGGGAAGTTTGTAAGTGTTTGTATTTGTTGTTTTATTCTTCCTTATATATGGCCTTTTTTGGGAATAAATGAAGAGGAGGCATCGATCGCATTATTACTTTACGCTTACATAAAACGCAAGACGCAGGCGGAAGACGCGGTTAATGTAAGTGTTCTCTCCTCATTTCCCGAAATCTTTTTCACCGGAAGACGCGAGCGTTTCTTTTTTTCGTAAGCGTAGCTTAACGATTGAATGCGCGTTTAATAATGGAATATAATGGCATCGTCGTTAACCAAAATTGCTCGTGGCATTATAACAATAACTTCCTTTAATTTAATTTTTAATTGATTAAAATTGACTTTGACCTTTTTAATTTTAAAAATTGATTTTTAATTTTTATTTTAATTAAATTAATTGTTTAAAAACCCTGTTGGGCATTTTGTTTTATTTTCTTCCTCTTGTTTTGGGGTACGGCCCAAGTAGGCGCACGGCCAAGTAGTCACAAAGTCATAACTTGCTTCAAAATTTCCGAATCTTACCAAATTTGGTATTAAACGATTCCTCTCATCGAGCTAAAGAGAATGGTATCAAAATTGTTAAGGTCCATAAATTTTTCAGGTAGTTATGGCTTTGCGCCTACTTGGGCGTGTCCCTTTGTTTTGCTCTCTAAATTAATGCTGACCGTTCCAAGATCACAACTGAAGTAAAATCCCGGCAGATGAAAATCTTCGATCTAATACAAAATCTGACTTTTGCAGAATTTACATCTTAACAAGTTTTTGATAAGGAAAATTTAAATTTGCTCGATAACTATACAAAAAGTAATGATCACATTTGAGGGCTCCCGTATAAGCTTGAGTAATTTTTAAAAACTTTATTGGAATAACTCACGCGGGAATAATCCCTCATTCCCGCCAAATTCCCTATCCTAAACTTGCGGGTTCCCGCGCGAGTGGAAGAAAAAAATTTTAGCATAATGTCGAGTTTTCCAACAGATGGGATCATCCTCCGTTTTTCCCTCGTTTTTGGAACTTAAACTGTATTTGTACTGGAGTTTCTGAAAAAAATGCCAGGAAACTAATTTTCAGAACTGGAGCAGAAACGTGGGCGCGGGCACTGTCTAACCGTGTTTGGGAGTATTCTTTTTATTATGCGGATATAATTTAGTCGGGAAATCGTTTCATTAACAACAATTAGGAAGTTGCCTCAACGATGTTCCAACAATTAACCGTAGTAAAAATGCTCAGGCAATGAGCTGAGTTGTCTGCTCTCAGTTGTATTTTTTGGGTACAGCCCGAAAAGGCGCGGGCCGAAAAGGCGCGACCGAAAAGGCGCCGACCGAATAGGCGCGCGGCCATATAGGCGCCGGCCGAATAGGCGCCAAGCTTTTTAATTAGATATTCTGATTGTAATCAATTAGAATGGTCCCATCGACCATCAAATAGGACCATTCAGAATTATAAAACAAAAATTTTCCAAAAGAGAAAATTTTCAAAAAAATTTTGCAAATAAAAACTTACCAAAATTAAAAAAACCTTGAAGTTTCACGTGTCAGGGCAGTTCTTCGAACGGACACGACTTCGACCGACAAAACTCAGTCGGACAAAACTTCGTTTTACCAAAACTTCGTCCAGACAAAACTTCGAATGTCCAAAACTTCGTCCAAAGAGCTTGGGGTTATTTTGGCGCAAGCAATTATTTCTTTAAACAGGCAATTGGATTTTTTCGGTACCGGTACCGGAAGTAGCGAAAAGAATCGATACCGAAAAGTACTAAATTTTACAAAATCTGTTTATCGGGAGTACCGGCACTTACGTACTGGTAAGATTTAGGAATTTCCGGTACTTCCGTTACGGTACCGGTACCAAAAAGTACCAGTTCCGGTTGAGCACTGAAAATTCCAAAATCTTGCCGACGTACCGGTAGTACCGGAAAGTTTTCGGAGAAAAAGAAATAATTGCTTGCGCCAAAATAACCCCAAGCTCTTTGGACGAAGTTATGGTCATTCGAAGTTTTGTCTGAACGAAGTTTTGGTAATTCGAAGTTCTGTCGGCCGAAGTTTTGTCTGGACTAAGTTTTGTCATTCGAAGTTCTGCCCCTCACCCGAAGTTTCATGACCAAAGACCAGAATACGATCATTATCTCCTTCTCCATTGTTTGCCAAAAGACTCGAAAACTCAAGGCTCTGATTCATAACGTCTGTATTTGTCCGGGATTATCAGAATTAGGGTTGCCGGCCCGGTCCGGTCCAGTCCGAAAGATCGAGCCGAAAAAGACTCGGTCGAGCTGGCCCGACAAAAATCAGGCCCGAAAAAGATGACTCGAACTTCGGCCCACTCGAAAACGGAAATCCTAATCAGAAACGATCTATTTCAGGATTTGGAGGAGCATTTTGTCCAATGTTTAATTAAAAAGCTTGGCGCCTATTCGGTCGCGCCTTTTCGGTCGCGCCTTTTCGGGCGTGTCCCGTATTTTTTCTATCGTTTTTCAGTTGTTTCTCGAATTGATTTTGCAGAAAAATCTACTATTATTATTTACTGTATTTACTGCCCGTTTAAATCACTGTCCAATTTACCACTGCCGAAATTACACGGCACCCTCTAAATTGTCCCATTTTTGCCCTGCTTTAAATTGGTGACTAACTTGTCCCCTACACTTTTCTAATGTTGAAACTTTTTTTTCTGATGATGAGTCATTCTTAAAGTTTAGATACACAGCAATTAACTAAATTATAAAATAAAATGTCCAACCGTCGTGGTGGTTTTGTAGAAGGGAAAGTTTATGTTGGTGGATTACCTGAAGATGCCACCTCCGAAGAGGTTCCCAACTTAAATCCTTTCCCTTTTAAAAATTTAATTTCCTCTAGTTGGACGACGCTTTCCATAAATTTGGACGAATTCGCAAAATTTGGGTTGCCCGTCGTCCTCCAGGTTTTGCTTTTGTAGAATTTGATGATCATCGAGATGCGGAGGATGCTGTACGTTCAATGGATGGAACGTTTGTTAAATTTCTTTTAACCCAGATTTTATCGTTAAAATTCTAATTTAGACGCATCTGTGGAGTTAAAGCAAGAGTTGAACTTTCGGTTAGTGCTTCTGGACGTCCTAGTGGAGGGGGACGAGGAGGCTTCCGTGGTGGCGGTGGTGGAGGAGGAGGGAGAGGATATCGTGATCGATCTCGCGATCGTCATGATCGCGACCGGGACCGTGACCGTTCAAGGTTTATACTTTAACTGAAAATTTTATCGAATATTTCTGTCTGGATTAGAGTAGGAATTTTTTTGTTTTTACTATTATTGGGAGGGTTGTTTTCGGGTTGGTCTGTGTTCGGGTCATTCTTTTCGATTTTTTGATTGATCCGGGTCAATTCGAGTTTTGGGATATCCTAAAAATCCTGATTTTTTGCTTTGTTTGGTTCGACAACCTTATTGGGATCTCCTATAGGTGGTTAATTTAAAGACAAAGTTTGGATACTTCCTTAGAAACGGCCTTATTATTTAGCTTTCTTTGGTATTTTTTTTATTCTTTGGGGTATTAGCCTTCTTTGATTACTTAACTGCGGATTAAAAAATATTTGTCTGCACAATCAAAAATCCCCAAAATATCTTAAAAACTTGAGGAGTGCTGTTTTCAGCAACACACACACAACCACCCAAACATCTCACCATCAACCAACCATCTTTTCAACCTCATCTCTTCTCTCAACCCAAACAATCCATCATTTTCTCAATCTGTTCACCCAAAATTTAAAAAATTCGGCTCAGCATTTGCAAATGCCGGATAGAAAAAATTAAAAAAATTTTTTGGAAATTTCCTTGTCTCCTTTAATCATCTCTTTTTGTGTGTTTTGTGAGTCATCACCAGCTCCTCATCCGCAACTTTAAATCAGATATATAAAAAAAGACAAAAATTCTCTCAACTTCTCTTCACAAAAATATATAGATCTCGCTCGCCATATCAACGTCGTGGTGGCGGCGGAGGAGGAGGACGTTCATACTCACGATCACGCTCTCGTTCACGTTGATGATGCAATGGATTGAGAAGAATTACTTTTTTGGAAGGTTATTAACACTCCCCCTTTTAATTTTTAAACAAGATTTTTTATTTTTCAGTTCAACATTTGTTACCAATTAAATAAAGAACGATTGAAGAAAAATGATTTTCATTTGCATATTTTTTCTATTTTTAAATGATTTTGCAATGTTTTCTATACCAAAAATTGTAATTTCTGTATCTCGAAAATTAAGATGTTGTTGTTAGGCTTTTGGTGTTTAGATCTTTAGAATTGCTAGCTTTGGGGTTATCCTATTTTTAATATCTAGGGAAATTTAATCTTAGTGAGGAATATACAAGACGGATGATTAGGGTTGGATTTTTCGAACCGGGCCGACGTTCGAGTCATTTGTTCCGAGTCAAATTTTTATCGAAGCGGGCCGTTCGAGTCTTTCGGGCCAAAATTGGAGGCCCGATTCGATCTTTTGAACCGAACCCCCAACCCTACTGATGATTAGAGATTTAACTTCAGTTAACTTTCCCCATCACTTTTAGGAAACCAAGATAAATAAAGCCTAGCATTAAAAAGCTCCAAAAGTTTCTCAATTTCCAATCCTAATAATGTTTCCAATTCATTTTATAATCCTTCAAAAATGCTTAATAAACATCACCCAAAGAAAATTTTTTTAATTTTAAGATACACAATAGAATAGCAACACAAAAGTCAAATTATCCAATCATCACATAAAATTCTCATTTTTTCTGCTTATCTTTATCTTCTTTAGAAGACCCAGCACTTTTGTCGGTTTTCTTATCAGAATTTGGGTATTGTGTTACTTTAACCTCTTGGGATTGTTTACCTCTTTGATCGACCAATTGTTGTAGACGAGCCTAAAATTAAATTTTAAGAAAAATTTTATAGGAATGGATCCGTTTCTTTCAAAAAATATTTCCTACACTTTTAAAACCTCTTCTGACCCAGGCCCTCGGAATTCTCAAATCTCTCAAAAATTCCTCACTACGGCCCTCCAAAATTCTCAAAATTTTCGGGCGGCTAAAAAAGTGAAGTTTAAATGACCAGCCTTTTATACCAAGCCCATACCCACCATGACCCTCCAAAATTTTCAAACAAAACAAACCGGATCATTCAACAAATCCCCAACAACTCCAGCTCCAGCAACTTTTTGTCCACCTCCTCCGTCCTCTTCAGTTTCCATTGGTGTTGGTGCAGGTGTTGCCATTGATGGTGAACGTGAACGGCTTGGTTGTTGACTTTCAGTAGCTGAAAATTAATATGTGAAAATTTATAAATAACCTATACTGCTTCCAAAAAATAGGGAAAGCTCAAACTAAAGATTTTAAAAACTAGGTTTGTTTACGAACGATTTAAACCCGAAAATTTTGATTTTATTTGCCAAAACTTAAAATGAGTGATTTTTGAAATGATCTACATAAAAACCGGTATTTAACTAAAACTCAAAGCCGAAAATTGGAATTCTGAAAATCAAAACCAAAAATTGAGGTTTTAAAATTAGGACTAATCAAAACCGGGAAATATCGTGAATTGAACAAATCTAGTATAAAGTAAACTCTTAATTAAGAATCCTCTAAATAAATATTTTGTCACTATGCCCATCTATTAACTTTCAAAATACCAATCACTAACCATGTTCAACAGACATTCGAAGAGCATAAGCCATTTGTTCTTCTTCTGTCATCTCTTCAAAATTAATTGGCGGAACTTGAGACTTTTCAACAACATCAGCAGTTTTCTTCGAACCTCCCTCATCCCCTCTTTCTTCTCCAACATCCATTGCATTATCTTCTTCCTGTTGAGGTTGTTCTTCAACTTGTGGAGCGTCCCCTCCTCCTTGTTGTCTGACACGTTGTTCTTCCAACGAAATTCGAAGCGCCTAGGAATTGAAGAAAATTAAGGGAATGAATTGCGAATATTTATTTGGGGTTTCCACAAATTTTTTATTATAGAATAGTAACAAAATTAAAAAAAGGTTGTTGAGTTTGCTATTAAAATACTATTAAAGAGAAGGCGAGCGCCGGAACTTTTCAAAATACCATCCCTTCAATATCCCCTTTCACAACTCCAATTCTAACAAACCCAACAAATATTCCAAACAAAAACCCCCAAAAAACATTTAAAAAAATAACCATAGCCAATTCCGGATCATCCTCCTCGTTAATACCAAAATCAGCCCCAGCTCCAATATTCCCACCGCCCTCACAAATAGGCGAGCGAAGTATTGCATCATAAAGTTTAGTGTCTCCAGCTGGAACAACCAAAAGATGAGAGCCTTGGCCGTCTCTTTAAAAAAACTTTTTTAAAAAAAAATTTTGAAAAAATAAAAACTAACGGTCCATTCAATATATTAATAAAATCGGAAACAATTTGGTTGTTTTCTGCCATAGCTTCACCAAAAAGAACAAAATCTGCATTAACCTTTTCTTTTTTAAGTTTTTTGGCGAATTTGAGGAACTGAAAGGGAAAATTATTTAAAAAAATTTAAATAAAATTCTTTAGGATCTCTTTAAAAATTTGTGGCAAAAAAATTTCCAAAAATTCTATATTTAATAAAAGGTTGGAAAAACAGGGAAGGACCTGGTGAAAAAGAACATTTGAGAAAAACCCCAACATGTTGTTCGTTTAATTACTTATATATTGGTGGACAAAATGTTAGACAACGGTTGCCGTTTTCGAGACGGGCCGATGGTTTTTTGCATTTTTACGGGCCTCATTTTTATTGAGTCGGGCCGTATAAGTCTTCTTCGGGCCGAATATCTTATGTCCGACTCGATTTTTCAGTATGAGTCGGTCCATTTTGGCAACCCTAGTTAGGCGGGAAATGTTAGGAACACAAAAAAGACCACAACAAAAATTTTTAGAATTTTGATTTGAAATGTGGTTAAAGACTTTGGAAAAAAGTCACTCAAAAAATCCTATCCCCTGAATCCTATAGTCAACCAAAAATTATCAAAAATATTTAATTAAACCTCGATTACCGAATCTTTTTCCGTTAAAAGCTGATCCAATGGACTTCCAACAAAAACAATTATACGCATTTTGTGAGTGCGGATTTTACGATGTTTTAGAGCCAAATAAGCAGTTTTAACTCCAGGAAAGATTTTTGTAGAGCCCTAAAAATTAGAATAGTTAAGAATTTTTACTTTAATTTTTAAAAAATAAATAAATGAAGGATAACCGGATATAGTTTATAGTTAGTATACAGGAGTCTTAGTTTCGACACAAAACCCATACAATCGATTCGTCTCGAGAGCTGAGTCGAACGGTACCACTCTTTTTTCCGGAGATGCCTGTGGACCGAGATATAGGTCCCCGAAAATCGAAAATTCACTTATTCAGTAGTGACAAAAATCCGAAACTAACACATTAGACTTAAATTAAAGATAGGGCCGACATGAAACTCATTTCGAACAGAAATCTTGATTATCGAAACTTGAAGAGATATCTCATATGATTTGAGACTCCAAACCTATCTCTAATTTAAACAACTAAAAACTTTAAAAACCATCAAAAAAAACTAACGTTAATCTCCAAACTGTGCAGACGAACCATTAATTTCCGATCATCAGTCAATAAAGAGTTTAACACCTCCACACGACTTAAAAATAAAAAAAAATAATTTTTCCCCAAAATTTTCAAAAAAAAACTTTGCAAGAGAAATTAACCCAACAGCATTTTCCGGATTGCTTCGAAGTTTGTAATGAACTAAAGCACGGACTGCCTCTTGTTGACAATTAAAGCGAGTTGGTGGAAGGTCCCCATTACGCATCCATTCAGAATTGTCAATGCTTTTAAAAATTATTAAAAAAAAATTTTTTAATTTATTTACCAAATCATTGTACTTTCCTGAGACATTTTTTCTTTTGAAAATTTTTTAGAAATAAATAAAATCTAAAAATAAATAAAAAATAAATTTTCAATATTAGCAAAAACAAATTTAAAAAATTTAATTATGCATAAAAAAAAGACGGGACCGAAAAATTAAAATTTACTGGCCGGGACCAGGAATCCCCGATCCCAATTTCATCCAGGAATCTTCAAAAAAGTTAGGAAAAAGGACCCGATGCCTTCCGATCTCTACAAATAACTCAAAAAAAAAAGTTTCAGAGACTCTAAAAGTAAAAAATCAAAAACGATTACATTATTTTAAAGCGCCCGGTTGAGCGCCACTAGTAACAAGAAAGCATTTACTGTAGATTTTATAAGTAAAAATTTAAAAAAAAATTTTTCAATTCTATATTTAATAAATGTGGACAATTAATAGTGTTTCCCCGGAACCGAAATTTTGACCGGAACCGGATCCCGGAACAGTAACTTCCGGTGAAACTATAATAATTAGCTATTAAATTAGTTAATATGTAGAAAGTTGAAAATATGGTAAAAACTAGAGTTGGCCGGTATCGGGATTTAGACAAAAACCCGGGATAGTCCCTCCCGATCCTGGCCAACTCAAGTAAAAACGACTGCAAGATAAAAAATTTTTTATTGGCGTTATGGTTATTTAGAGATTTTTTAGTTATTTTTTCCGTTTATTCTTTCTAATCTCAACAACCCCCTTACCAAGTAGTGTGCCATTTCGCCTTGTCTTTCGACAAAATTCCACCTTTTTGGACTTTAGCTTTTTAAATCTGTTTCGACACACCCCTGCCCCTAATTAACAGCTTTTAGCAAACTTAGAGAAATAACTATATTTTATTCTAAACTGAAGATTAGTTTAGTAAATTGTAAAAGAATAAAAAAGATAATGAGAAACAAAATAAAGAGATCACTTTTAAATTATAGCACAATTTAATTCTATTAATATTTTTAAATCAAAATTCATCTTTGTTTGTAAAATTCTCTATTCTGCAATTTTATGCTTTGATTTGCAAATGTTTGGTGAGCCCTCTGAACTGATTTTTTCAATTTTGCACGTTTATTCTTTAAAAATTGGGAAAATTATTTTTTATAAACTTCACCCTTGTATTAAGGAAACAATAAAAAAAGATGACTAAAGATTTTAATCTTTATCAGAAAATATCAGTTAATCCTCACTAGTGCGAATATTAGAGATTTGTCTGAATCTGGATCCAGTCTGGATTTTTCCTGGATCCAGAATTCTGTCAAGGTTACTAACCTAAATCCAGGATTTTTGAAAATAATGATCTCTAGTGAATATTGTACATTTTTAAATCTACTAATTAGTCTGGGTGCGAAGAAGGGCTGACCAAACAATACCCATCAATATATATAAGGCCTGATATATGGTAGGATTGGAAGTAGTGTTACGCCGGAAGTTCGGTTTCGGTCCGGAACCAAAAAATGAGATCCGGTTCCGGCCAAATTTGCGGTTCCGACGCAACACTAATCGGAAGCTATCCTAACCCTGTATATTTTCAGGTATACATACGAGGTCCGACTTTATTAAAGACTCCTTTCCTAAGTTCTTTTAAGAATATCATTTAATTCCTTTCCCCCAATCACTCTCCTATTTTTCCCTCTATTAAAATGACAATTAAATATATCTGCCGCTCTTTATTTTTATTTTTTCCCTTCTACATATCCGCCAAAACAAATCTACAAGTATGTATTTATTTACAAACTACTTTGGTGGCGCCGTCAAACAAAATATAATTACAAGACGACCCTTTAAGAGTTTTTTAGTAAATATTTTAAATAGATTGTTATCGTTAAAATTAAATGAGGGGAAAGAAAAAAATCTTCTTTTTTTCTCATTTAATTGAGAGAATAGCAAAGTAATTTAATTGGAAAATTGGCCAATGAATTTTAGAGGAATTTGATAGAATTGGGAGTAGTTAATGTGAGGGGGATGTTTGGGCGTGGAATACTTTCTTAATGACAACTGGAAGTCTATTCACGGTGTTTGTACTTGAATACAAGCACAGGGAGTATTCAAAGTGTCTTGTACGAGTAAGAGGAAAGGTCGAATGAAATACAAATTGCTAATTGTGATTGGAGATAGTGTTGGCGGGTTCAGAGCCGAAAAAAGGGGATAGTGTTTTTGTGATTGGGGGTAGAGTAAGTCGAGTACCGAGTAATTGGGGAAAACCGAGTTCGAGTAATGCCGAGTTTGAAAACCCCGAGTTTGTAAATCGAGTCGAACTCGCTCGACTCGAACTTACTTTATTGTGATCGGAGAGAGTGTTCTCCAGAGCCGAAAAAATTCCGGATATCTAAAAATTTTCGGGTTGGATATCGAATCCGAATATCTGCGGATATACAGCTGCTACCAGGTTACTGGTATGACAGATAGGACGGTTATGCTGTTAGATTTTAGAGTCTGTCTTGATTGCAGAAAACAACAAAACATCCCAGTAACCATACTAAGCAAAAGGGTGACCTTCAAGGTAATCTTTAGAGGAGGTGGGTGTAGTAGATCTCCTGGAATTTATATTAATTCAAAAATCTCTCGTAAAACATTAATTTCCCTCATTTATTATTTTCTTTAGGCAAAATATATTTTTAATTAGGTAAATAATATTTTTTTTCTATTTTTGCAACGATCTGTCCAATTTAAGAGAGAGAATCCATTTATTTAAAGATAAAATCATTACAAAAAAATTTTTTCTTTTTCTGCACTCATTTCCCAATAAATATATTTTCAAATAATGAGGGACAACAAAAACATAATAAATGATTAGCAAAAAGGTTAAATAATTCTGACAAGCGGTAAATGGGCATAAATTAAAGAGAAAGACAAAAATACTGTCATGTAAAAAGGGGAGACCCCAAAAGAACAACTTTTGATATTCAACACATTTTGGGGGTATAAATAGAAGAGGTCGGAACGGGACAGATCCCGTACGGGATTTTACGGGATCCGGTCCCAAAATCCCGTATTTTAAGGATCGAACGGGGTTATCGGGATTTACGGGATTAATCCCACGGGATCCTGTCCCATAAAAATTTTTTGAAAAATCCCATTACGGGATCCAGTGAATGCGATTTTGCCGACCTCTAGTTATAAATCTAATGGGTACCTTTAATCCAAATTACGTTTTTATAAATTTAGTTTTCCTTCGCTAACTACACTCTCAATTTAAGAGAAAGCTCATTATAAGGTCAGTCTTTCCAGCACCCAAGAGTGTATTTCATAGCGAGGGTGGTTAACTGAAGTTCAAAAGGCTAAAAGCCTCTTTTCTTGTCAAACGAAAGACTATGTTAGTAGCGTCTTAATAAATTTTGCCGGAAAGAGGAAAGAAGAGGATTAAGAAAAATTTTTTTAAACTTCACCTGAAACCAAATTTTAATTTGCGATTCATTTAGCCCCAATTCATGTGCCAATTCTTGTCTTCTTTTTTCAGTTAAGTAGCGATTGGCAATAAATTGGCCTTTTAGTCGTTCGAGCTTAAAAAATTTGAAAGTTTTTGTTTTTGTATCAGGTGACATTTTATCCCAACCCTTCACTTATCCCATTTCTCATTCCAAGTTATCCCCAAAATATCCCAGATCCTCTATTTATTCCAATTTCTCAGTTATCCCAATTTAAGATTGCCCAGAGTTTGGGACAAGAATAAGACTGATTTACTAACACACCTGTTCTACAGTAAACGCAGTTCTTGGCCTCTTATCCTCCTCTCCAATATCTTTTTTCTTTGATTTTCTAAGTCGAGAACCTAAAGCTATAAAATTTAAAAATTATTTTAAAATATTTTTTTTTTAATTTTTCTGACCTGAACCGGGTCTATCAGAATAACGAGTACAGAAAATCCAAGGAGGTAAAAATTCATTACATTTATTTGTGCAACAACCGTTATTGTTTAAATTATTCTTGGGAGATAAATTTGTTGTTAAATTGATGTTTATTTCTTCGTTCTTCTTAAAGAAAATTGAAAAAAAATATTAGTTTTAAGGCCGATTGGCAAAAAAATTTAAAATAATTAGGGGTTATTTTAAGGGTTTAGCCAATGCCTATAGCGTCTATTGCAATTTTTCTTATTTTAGTGATGGGTAATCTTTAGCTTATTTCCCTCCTCAAAAAAGTTGTATGATGGTTTTTAACGTTTGAATTAGGGTAGCTCCCCGTCCCCCATAACTACCCGACGATTTTTTGGTAAAAACCGCGACCCGGACCCCGAAGGGGTAAACGTTTCCCTCTTATTATTCAAAAAACTCCTATCCCCGACACTTACGACCCGAAGGCTTGGGAAGCTACCCTAGTTTGAATAGTTGAAAAATGATATTTTGGATAATTTGACTTTTTTTACCATGACCGGAAAAACTAACCTAACCAAAAAATTCGAAATTTTCAGAGGACTTAGATAACACTATGATAATTATTCTAAAAAGCACCCTCAAGTAATCGTTCCCCTTATTCAACTTACATTATTTAAAATTCCAAAATCTGGCTGTAAAATATTTTCAATACTAAATTTTAATAAATTTCTCTTTTCTTTCTTCAAAAAATCCGATCCACAAAAATCAGAAGTTGAAATATATTTTTGGAAGGTAAAGTCGTCAAAATTGTCAGAAATGTTTGAATGGAATAAATGAATTTTTTGAAGGGAAAATTGTTTTTGTTGGGGGTGATTTGTTGTATAGTCCATGTATTTTCAACCAGATTTTGCTTAGTGTTTTTAATGCTGAAATATTACTAAAAAATATTTAATGTAATCTTCAATTATTTTTCCAAATGGTAATTTACCCCAAATGAATATGTATAACAGGTTACGGGGTAGTATTTTAATAAAAAGACACTCTCTAATAGAGAGTGTCTTTCTTACTCTCACATTTGATAATATGGAAGAGAACTATACTCTCTAATAAAAGGGATACTTATAATATGCCATTTTAAAAGTGACTCTCTAATAAACGCCCAGATGCTGGATGGCCAAAAGGCTAGAATCGTCTACTATATTATGTAATACGAACATTTAAATTAAAATTTATTTAATTACGAGACAGATCTACTTTAGGACATGTGTCCCAAAAATTTTTATGCGTCCTATCAGAGACTTTTTTGGGACGCTTATAATTTGATGGGACGCTTAAAAGTCCGTGGGACGCATAAAAGCTCATGAGACGCATGTTCTGAAGTAGAGCCTTAAGGGACTATAAGGGCCTAAAGAGGATAACCAAAACCTGTAGGTATCCAAAATCCTCAACCTCGCTTTAAAAAAATTTTTTTCCTTTATTTTCCTCACTCCGTTAAATAGAACAATTAAAAGGAGGAAAAAAACTGTGTGGCAGGAGGGTAAATAGAGTGTAAATATTAGTAGCTATTTAGATATATCTTCTACCACAATGAGAGAAGGAGACTCTTCTTTGAATTAAATAACAAAAACTAAATAAAAAGGGTCCGCCCATCAACAATTTAGGTAGTTGTTAATTCAATGTCAATTAAGAGTTTTTAAGAAAAGGAAAGAAAAAGGAAAGAGACATTACTGTATTTTTAAATTACTTTTTAAATTATTTAAAAAATTGAAAGAAAAGTTGGGTAATGGTTTGGTAATTTTTAAAGTTATAGGGAGCCTTAAAGACTTGTTTATAAAAGAAAATTTTATTAGCCATAATTGTTTAGGTAAAAGTGAGAGTTGCTGTATTTATATGGAACTAGGGAGTGAAAAAAGCCGAGAGTCGAGACCGGGAATCAACCCCAGATACCGAAACCCGAACAGAGACTGAATGTCGAGACCGAGACTCTCGAACATCACTAACATATATCCCAATAGAGATACACTTTCTGACAATTTTATTAGACTTAACATTCTTTGTACTTCAAAGTTTCAAATAAAGTTTCCCAAAAATCTGTCACTATAACATTTATATGGTAAAAGGGTCGATAGAAAATCACCAAAATTAATTCTTGGCGTTCTGTTAACTCAAAAAATCTTTCACCCAACCAGGGATGAGCGCAAGAGACAATCTCAAATAACGCAATGCGCTCACCCCTGCCCACAATCACTCTTTCAAATTTTCAGATATTTTTTATTTTCAGAAAAACATTAATTAATCAAAAAAAAAGTCTAGTTATTGAAAGGTAAAAACTTATGTTCATTGAATAATAAATAATTTCTCGGTAATATATTTATTTTTTGTTTTCAGTTACCCCCTATTATCAGCTACGTTAAATCTTGTTTTTCTTTCCCTCTCGTATTTTAACCTCGATTAAATATTGTTAGGCCGTAAATAATTCAATCATTAACCGTTAATATATTTAAAGATTTATTGAGAATTTGAATGAAAATGTGGAAGAAAATTAAGTGATAAAGAAATTCTTTTAAAATACCCTGCTCCGTCTCGAGCCCACTCCCTCAAGGGTTATAAATAATTTTTTAAAGAGAGATCGGACGAGAATCGAGATCTCGAAAAATTCTTGTTCTCAATAACCTAGTTTTTACAAACATCAAATCAAAACGGACACCCTGGTACAAAAACAAAAGATAATTTTTGACTGCTACGATCGGGGGTGTGAAAAATGCCAAACTTCTACTGAGGATTATGAATGTTATTATCAAATAGTTCATTTTATATGTAACAGTTTGATAGTTTCTTGAGATAGATTTTAAGGGTAATGAAGACTAAATTAGAATAATAAAAAAGGGAAAATTCTTTTTGAATAATTTTTTGAAAAAAAAATTATTTAGAAAATTAATTAATTAAATAAATGATTTTAATTTGTTTATTAAGTTATTTGAGGGAAAATAGCGGCAATTGAAAATAAATATATAAGTCAAATATTTTTCTTTTTCTAATTGAATAGATGGGTGGCAGATAAATAAATAAATAAATAAATAAATATTCGGCACATTATTTAATTTTTTTTTATTTCAACAACAACAAGATTGACAAGACGGCAAATAAATTAAAAGGAAAGAGAGGCGATTTAAAAGAGATAATAACGGGAAGGAATAAATTATTTGTGAAAAAGTAGAGGGAAAACAAGAGCAATTTAAATTAAAAATTAGCCTCAATAAATTTAAAAAACTTTTAATTGAAAAAAATTAAAAAAAATTTTGTTTGAATAAATACTTGGAGGGTGTTTACAGTTGGTTAATTGAACCGAAAACCGGGGGTACCGATTAATGATTCACCTAGAGCATTTAAAACGCTTAGGTGGGGGTTAAATGATCTCTCACTTCTTCCATCTTTTTGCTTACGCAAGTCAGTGGATCACTGAACTTTCACCCATCATTAGGGGGTGTATCTATGGAACCGGCTCTGGAACCGGTTCTAAACAGTTCCAGACCTTTACCGGTTCCAGTTCCGGAACTGGAACTTTCCCATCACTGGTGGTGAGCGATAGCTCCTAGCAATAATTGCAAGGAGGTCGCAGGTTCGAATCCTGCCCGGTGGCTAAACTTTTGCTAAAATCTTTTTTAATAACCGTTATAATGAACAACCCTAATAAATACAGTCGAATATCGATACAACAAACTTAAAGAAAAAATTACATTAAATTAAGAGGTATGGTAAATCAAGATATTATTTACTTTATCACAAGATTTTATACATATCTCATTGCAGGGAAGAAAGGAGATTCAGCTGACTTGCATTTAAAACGCTTATAAAGCGAGGGATTTAAAAAGGGGAAGAGTAAAGCAAGCAAGTCAGTGGATCACTGAACTACGGATCAGGGCTCTAGTTTAGGACATGCGTCCCATGAGCGTTTATGCGTCTCATGAGCTTTTATGCGTCCCTTCAGAGTATGCGTCTCAAAAATAGTACTTTGTAGGACGCTGTACTATTTTGGGCTCTGATGGGACGCATAAATCTCATGGGACGCATGCCCTATACGAGAACCCAGATCAGGGGATAAACTGATTTACATGGGACGGACTTTTAACTCCCTCCTACTATCTTATATTGACAATATTATTTTCCCAAACCCTTATATAAGGCTTTAATCATTAAATATTCTCTCATTCATTTTTAAATTTTTATTTAATAGGCCGGGCTCCCCTAAATATTCTTCAATTAAAACAAAAATTTCTCTGTGTGAAGAGTTACTGCTTGCTTGCTTTGGACAGTCTTCAGGAACTTGAATAATTTTGTACATAAATGTTATTTTTATAAATGGAAAGTCACCAAACTAGAAAGTCTCCTCAATTCTTTTTTAGTATTTAATAAATTAAATGAAAATAAATGGTGTGGTGGTCGTGGCCGAGTGGTTAAGGCGTTGGACTGCTAATTTATTGTCGTTATCCAATGGGGTTTCCCCGCCAGAGTTCGAATCTCTGCGACCACGGATCTTTTTATTTGGTTAATAAAAGTTGAATTTTAATATTTTTTTTTAACTTTTTGACCAACAAATGAAATTTTAGATTTCAAACAAATAATTATTTTTAAAAAATCCTTCCCATAAAAATGAATTATTTCTCTATTTTTTTGTTCTTCATTTCATTTTATTTTGTTTATTCTGTAGATGAATTTGATCCTCACAAATTTGCAGAAATAATGAGAAAAACTCAAGAAGCTGAAGCTCAAAAATGTTAGTAATTTTAATTTTATTAAATTTTGGTTGTCCTCGACATTTGTGGGCTAAAATGGGACAATGTTCATTACTTTGATCAGTAAGAGATACCGCACCATTTTCCTGTATCCTTTTCCGGCGTCTGTTAACTTGTTATAATTAATTATATATCATTCCAAAGAGCTTTTCGAGCCGAGTCGAATGAAACTAAAATAAACGAAATTTGACTTTACTGAAAAAAGTTATGACGCTTGTTTTAATCCCTTTCAGAGGAACAAAAGGCTTTCACAGAGATGATTCAGCTTCTTAATTTTTGCCAAATATTACCGAATCTATCCGATATTGGTATCATTCTATCCAGCTCGAAGAGCTTTTTCGAATGATATGTGCTAAATTATCAAAATGGTCAGGGATACGGTAAAATAGTGGGGGGGGGGGGTCTAAACCGAAGAATTACCCTTTGATCTAATCATAAAGTATATTTGATAGTAAAAGCATATCGGGCGTTTTTCCTTTCTGATAATTTTTAAACTTGTTCCGAATTAAAATTTTCGTTGTGGCGCTAAAATTTAAGAATTTTTTCAAAATTTGCTAATCTAATTTAACAGTTTAATTTAATAAAATTAAGAAGGATTAAATGTGGTATTTGTGTTAGTTGGAGGGATTAAAGGGAATATTGAGGAATTTAGGCGAGAGATCAAGGGTAGTTAAGGGGCATATCGAGAGGAGTAAAAACAACCAAAATTATATCAATTCCAAATAAAATTTTTTTTTTAATTTACAGATTCTCATTTACTGAATCAGAACAACTATCATGGTATGTAAAGATTAGATTTATATGGTAAATTTTAGACCTGAAAATTAGTGCACGGTAAAATCGATTTTGCCGGACCCGAATCCGGATTTCGGATTTGCAACTTGAACCTTACCGGATCCGGCCGAATTTTTCCGGATTAATCCGGTCCGGTTTTAGTCCGGAAATCTAAAAAACCCGGATTTGGGACCCGGACTCCTGAAAAATCCGGCCGGATCCGGTCCGGCGCTGGGTATTACTAAAATCTTAAACACAACCGGATGTTTTCATATATTTTAGGAAATAGAAAAGCTTATGGGGTAAACCTAATCTTAAAAATT